AGTTGCATCCAGTCGCGATGAAACCGTGCTGAGCAAATCCTTCGCGACGGGGGTGCGCGCGGTGGCGGAGTTCGCGACGATGGCGATGATTGCAGAGGACGACCTGATTCGAGCGGGATTCAGGCAGGGCGAGCGTGCGCGGCGGGGGCCGTGAGGATGAGGACCGACCATGAGGCCGACCCGGACGGCGAGGCGCTGCCAGAGGCGACGATGGGCCCAGCGCGCGCGCGCGCGGGTCTTTCTGGTGGTGGCGAAGAAGGTGTCAGAAGCGGGCGACGAGGTCGGCCTGGCCAGCGCGAGGTCCTGGCTGGTTCGCCAGGCCTTGCTCGACGGCGTGAGCGCGATCGCTGACCTGACTACGCCGGTCAAGGGGTTCTGTTTGTCCAGCGCGTTCAAGGGGGGCTCGCCAAGATGGTCTTCGGTCTGCCCGACCGGCAGATGGCTCGTGCGTTGCAAGAGTGCGCCGTGCAACTCGGCGGGGAGTTCGCCCGGGCATGTCTCCGAGGTCGCGCGCGGAGAGGGGGGGGGGCCCTTCAGGTCGCGCTCGACGAGTTCGAGATTTCGCGGCGCCTGGCTCGGCAGAGTGGCTCGTCAGAGGTGAGCTCTGGCGTTCTGCAGCAGGATGGAGATGGCATCGCGTGCGGTCAGACCTGGCGCTGCTGATGCCGCGGATTCTTGGGGGCGCAGCGCCCCGGATAGGTTGGGTATCGTGAGGCGCGGCGAGGTGCAATAGCTTCTCTCTGCTGCTGCATCGCCGATTTCTCCGTCGGTTAACGATGGGCAGCCCCCTGGGCTTGAAATCGGATTTTGTTTAACGTCGAGTGTGGGTATTCGTGTGCACCGCAGTTGGCGAGATGGGGGTCGTTGGTTGCCAGGTCTTCATTCGTGGCCAGGTCTGCCTCGGCGGCGCCGAGTGGGAAAGTGTCCTTGACGGCGTCGCGGAGGGCCAGATCAGCCTTGCAGAGACAGGCGATTGTGAGGCAGACGACCGTGTCGACAAGAGTTGCTGGGTCGAATGAGGTCGGGGGTCTCGTTGCGCCCGCCTTCCAGGAGGCCGCCCGTTGTGCTGCTGCTACGGCTGTCCTCTCCTCTCCTCCTTGTTCGAGCGTTCCTCCTTGCTCGTCCTCGTCTTCAGCTTTGCCCTTTAAAGATCTGGCCGCTTATGCGACCCGTGTATGATTCTTGGTCCATTTTCTTTTGGTCCTCGGACAATGGCTTGTCCCCCGTCCTCGGGCTCCTGGGGATTTATCTTGTGTGCTAATTCCGAGGTGTCGCTCGCCGTGAACCGTGGTTGAGCATGGGCAACTTCGGGCTCGCCCCCATGGAGGGGGCCATCGTTCACTCGTTTACATAGCGCACGATGGGTCACACATGGTGTATACTCGCAGGATTGTCACAGTATGTGATCTTGATGGCAGACGAGATATTTGACCTGATATCGCATCCTCCTCCTCCTCCCCCTCCTCCTCCTCGGCCCCCCCCTTTTGGACGCCCCCATCTTATGGGCGCACCCGAACGAGACGGGCCCTGAGGTCAGTCGCCGTCCTCTCGGCCCCCTGGGGGCCCCTCCAGGGGCCCCGGGGGTCCAGGGGGCGGTCGGGGAACAGCTCGGGCCGACGAGCGGGTCCGGGGGCAGGTCTTCTCTAGGAGGGGGAAAAACACGCAGACACAACTAATCACCGACACCCGGAAAACAGGGAAAAGTATGCATGGGAAGCGGGGGAGGGAGGGCGACGAAAACCCAAAACATATGGAAATATACAGGGGATCTGGGGATTTGTGTGTATTTATCTGTGTGTCCCCAGGCCCCTTGACTTCTGGAGGTCTGGAGGGGCCCGGGTCTTGCGCGCCGGCGGAAGCCCTGGAGGGGCTGGGGCGCGGGCGCGCGCGCGCGCGCACGGCCGCGAGCAAACGCGAGGTCGTGCACGCGTGCCTGCACGCACGCCCCCCGCCCCCTCTCCCTTAGTGGGCGGAGAACGGTATAACATCATTTTTTCTGCCAGCAGGGTATAAACTTCCCAGTCGCCCTGGGGCAGGCGTCCCCGGCGACGAACAAACTATTGCGAAGGCCTTACGGCCGGTGCCGCCGACCCTGGAGGGCGACCCATGCGTTCTCGTATGCGGCGGGGGGGGCCTCTTGGGGCTTCCTGGGGGCCTCTTGGGGGTCTCGTGTCGGGTCCGTGCGCTCGGGTCGTCGTCGTCGTCGTCGTCGTCGTCGTCGTCGTCGTCGTCGTCGTCGTCGTCGTCGTCGTCGTCGTCGTCGTGGTCGAGGGGGCGGAGGAGGGAGAGGAGGGAGAGGAGGGAGAGGAGGGAGAGGAGGGAGGAGGGAGGCGTCGGGCGCGGCTCGGGCGCGGCTCGGCGGCGGCTCGGGTGGCTCGGGCGCGGCTCCGAAACAATAAAGAATCCCTACGTGCAGTACTTGCGGGGGGGGCGTCGTATCTGAGTGGCGCCCCCCCCCCGGGACCCCCCCCCGGGACCCCCCCGCTACCCCCCCCCCCTCCCGGCGGGGGAGGGATCAAAGGGAAGGGGCTTCCCTTCGACTCAAATACGACGTTGTTGAAGTTCATTTGGGCTGGCGCGCTTGAGCAGGGGCCCCTGCTGGGAAAGAGGACGGGAGTGGCGACGGGCCCACGGAAAGGGAGGCGCAAGGAAGGGGGACGACAGAGACGACGACCAACGAACAACGGGGATGACGTCTCGAACGGAAAAGCCCCTCACACACGCCGACAGGGTCGGCGGATTTCATACCGTCCTTCGCCGGTTCACTTCTCCCCGCCACCACTCGGCGGCGATCGAGGGGGGGAAGTGAGAGGGGCAAGGCTCTTTCAAGAGGCGGCGGGGGTTCTCACTCCTCTGGCGTCCTGGGGGGCCTTCTTGTGCTCTCGGGGAAGGCTCGGAGCACACCTCAGAAGGTCGGGGGGGCTTCCGAGCCCCCCGAGAGGGCCGCCCCCTCGCGCTTCCCCCCCGTGCTGGCCGCCGAGCCGCCACAGCACGCCACTCCGCACCCGCAAGGGGGGGGGGGGCGGCACATCGTGGGGGGAGGGGGGGGGGGCCGTGCCCATCCTCCTCCTCCTCCTCCTCCTCCTCCTCTCCTCCTCCTCCTCCTCCACCTCCTCCTCCTCCTCCTCCCCTCCCCCCGCCTCCTTCCCCTCCCCTCGCCTCCTCCTCCTCCACCTCCTCCTCCTCCTCCTCCTTCTCATCCTCCTCCCCCCCTCGTCCTCCTCCTCCCCTCTCATTGTGTTCCAGCTGCTTGCTTCGTGAGCGCGTCTCGCCCCAGCCCATGGTGGTGTCCTGGTTGTTGCGTTCGCCGAGTGCCGCGACCACGACATGTGTGAGGGAAGCAGGGGAGCGCCCCTCTCGAACAGCTGCGTTGGAATAGAGACTGGGTGACTTAGCGCGCTGTGGATTTCGGCTCGGTGGGTGACTTTGGTTGGGTCTTCGTGCAGTGAAGGACTGGTTTATGTGTCGTGCGAAAAGTGGAGGCGCAAGGCTGGTGGGTCAAGGGTGCGAAGGCTGGGCAGGAACTTGACATGAGACGACGAGACCCTTTCTATCCCCGCACCCGACAGCGATGATGACCGTGATGCTTCGCGCCAGCCGCTTGGAAGCCTGGGCGAAGTCAACCTTTGTGCCTTCTGATGAATACCCGTGGCCACTGCACATTATTTCAAGCAATGGGGCCGCATTGCCTCACTTTGCTTGTTGTTTCAAATTCGGATCTTTTCACTTGGTTCGAGAGGTTCGCGCCATTCCGCTGACCTCCGAAACATGGGAGTTGTAGAGGCACCTCTAGGCGACTGAGAAAGTACATGGCGCAGCACGGGGTAGAGAAAGACAATGCTGATCTTAGTGATGAGGCGGAGGAGAAGGTGGATAAGAGAGTCTGGCGCAAAGCGGCACGACATCCGCAAATCTCTGAATTGTCAGGACTCCCAGGGATTCACGTTGGCCCTCTTTGGGTCGTCTGTTCAGGTAATGGTCACATTCCTGGGTCTTGTACGGGGCTCACTTACAAGAGACTGGCCTCAAGGTGTCTTGCGGAAGTAAAGAGGGTATCAACAACTTGTTTCTGCCGCATAGACTCGAGATAATTATTGTATCACAGACCCACCGCTGTAACAAGATACATTCATATTCAACCGCGGCGTACCGTTCGAATATTTAAGTGTGTGACGCGAGGCGGTATTGATACCAGCATTTCGTGGCCCAGTATTTGCTCTCAGTCCTATTTATCCACGTCCTACATGGAGTTTTTGTTACCCACGCCCTAAGCCGGTTTCTTGTCTTCTCTGGACACCCCGCGCAGTATTCCTCCTCCTCACCCCTTCTCCCTCTCAAACACTCACACACCATCACCACTACCATCATCATCATCATCATCATCATCATCATCATCATCATCATCATCATCATCATCATCATCATCATCATCATCATCATAATCGTCATCATCATCACCATCACCATCACCATCACCACCATCATCATCATCATCATCATCATCATCATCATCATCATCATCATCATCATCATCATCATCATCATCATCATCATCATCATCATCGGCAGCAGCAGCACCAGCATCATCATGGAGGCGCTCGAGCACGGCGCAGGCGGGCTCCACGCATGGCGGCGCGGCCCGCGCGGATGGCAGGAGGACGAGCTGGACATGCTGGGCGCCCTGAGAGCGGGCCAGCGCGAGGTGGACGCCATCGACAGGTACCTTGGCGCAGGAGGTCTGGAGCACGGCCGACGGCTCGGACGGGTGGCAGGACTTCGAGAGGCAGTCGGACTCGAAGGCGCTGCCCAGGCCGACCGCTGACGAGTGGCTGGACGCCGCCAAATCTTTCGCGAGGCGCACGGGCGTGGGCGTCGACCGCGTATCGCCCCGAGCCCTCGCCCAGGTGTCCACGGCCACGGCCGAGCTCTTCGTGGACATCGGCGTGGCGGCCGAGGGGTGGGGCGGCTGACCGCTGGCGGCGCGGGCGTCGCTCATCGTGATGCTGCCCAAGCCCACGGGCGGCTGGCGGCCCATCTGGCTGCTCTCCAGCATCCCGCGGATCTGGAACAAGCTCAGGCAGGCCGAGGCGCGGCGCTGGGAGGCCTCCCTCCGCGGCTGCGGCGCAGCCGACTTCTGGGGCGGACCAGGGCGCTCGGCCCAGGAGTCCGCGTGGCGCCACGCGCTGGCCGCCAAGGCGGCAGGGGCACAGCAGCTATACGGAGCCGCGCTGCTGATCGACCTCGGGAATGCGTACGAAACGGTGCGGCTGGCCCGCGCCGAGCGCCTGGCCCGCCGAGCTGGCCTGCATGGCCGACTGGTCCGCTGCGCCATGTCGACCTACCGCGGGCGCCGACGCATACGGGTGGGCACCGTCGTGGCCGAGGCGCGCGCGCTGGACGCGGGCCTGGTGGCTGGGTGCCCGTGCGCGGGGAGGACCCGTAAGGCGGCGATGCTACCGGTGGCGAGGGCGCACTCCGAGGAGTTTGGCGCCTGCAGCAGCGGCGAGCTGAAGTCCGACGTGTCCGTTTCCTACGACGACGCGACCATGGCCTGCTACGGGCGCGCCCCGCGGGCGATCGCGAAGCACCTGGTGGAGGCGGGGCTCGCGGTGGCAGCGGGTCTTACCGCGTTCGGCTGCAGGATCTCGGGGGCCAAGACGGAGGTGGTGGTTTCCGACCCGCCGACGCGAGACGAGGTCCAGGCGGCGCTGAAGGCCGGCGCCCTTTATGTGCGCAAAGTCAGAGCCTCAATTTAATCATAAACGTCGCGCGGATCTTAGCATAATCCACCGGTGATCGTTCCCGCAGTCCGGTGCTGCTGCTCAGTGCGTCGGCCATGCTCCTCTCACGTTTTTTTTATCATCGTCCTCCGTCGGCAGCCAGCGTCATTCTTCTGTCTTGTTATTTGTCAGCACTCTCCCTCTGGCTGGGTGTTGGAGTCGACTGTTACGCGTGCGGGGCCCGCGCGCACTTGGGTGGCCACGCGAGCCCGAGCATCCGAGCCTCTGTGATTCAAGCCATTCTGGTTCAAGCCATTTTGGTTCAAGCCTTTCTGTGGTTCAAGCCATCGAGGGGCCAGCGCGGGGTCTAACGTCATCAGCTATTGGGGTCAGCACGTGGGAGTAGGGCGAGCAGTGGCAGCGGGCCGCGGCGTGGGTCAGCGACGTGCGGTGGACGCTGGAACCCGACGTCATCACCTAAGCGTGCGAGAAGGGCGCGCAGTGGCAACATGCCCTGGCGCTGCTGTAAGGGATGCGGGATGCGAAGCTGGAGCCGGAAGTCCTCGGCTACGAACCCAGGGGCCTCAACCAGTGTCCCCTCCCCCTCCCTCCCCCCTGTTTCTCCCTCCTCTTCCTCTCCTCCACTTCTCCCTCCCTCCCCCTTTCCACCCTCAGTTTTTTCGTTGTTATTTTCCTCTTCCGTCCTCTTCAGATTTCATCCTTTCGTTTTCCTCCCTCCCCCATTTCTCTTCTCTTCCTTCGTTCCTCTTCCTTCCCTCCTCCCCCTTTCCCTTTTCACGCTCCCCCTTGTCTTAGTCAGCAGTGCGTTCGGGTTTGAAGGGCCGTTTCCGGGCCAACATTCGGTATCGCGCTCGATCTGTTCAGTTTTGTGTTACGTTCTGCCTTGGGGCCTCCGAGGAAAAAACGCTCCCCCTTGTCCCTCCCACCTCACCGGAGGGATGAGGAGTGGCGAAAGATGGGGGATGGGAAATGACGGGGTAATTAGAAACAGGGCACGCGGAGGAGTAAGAGGAGGACGAAGAGAGAAAGGGAGGAGGAGGAAGAGGAGGAAAAAGAGGAGGAGGAAGAGGAGGAGGCAGGAGGCAGGAAGAAGAGGAGGAGGAGGATATTAAGGATGTAGCTGGCACGTGCGAAGAAGACGAACCGTGGCAGGGGGCTCAGCGAGATTGGCAGGGCGAAGCTGGAGCCCGACGTTCCTACGGTGGGGGCGTTGGTTAAGGAATGCGCCCAGGAGGCGTGAGACCCTGGAGGATTCCTTATCTGATGAGGGCGGTGGCGATACCCATGGCCGATCCACAATTGGAGTTCCATTTTTTTTTTCCACGTCGACCACGGCGGCTGGATGCCTCGACAACTTCGCATGGCCACTGCCCCCGGACATGGAGGAAAGCCGGGCTGCGTGGGCAGCCGACCACCAAAGAATACGGAGACGCTATCAGGCACGTGGCAGGGACAGCGAAAGAGCACCCGAGACAATTATTGCCCAGGGGCCAGGCCGGAAATGTTACTTAAGACCGGGTTTTTCGAGACCTGCGGTCTGGCGAATGCGAAGAAAAAAAACAATTGGAGTTCCACTGGCTTCCAGACCCTGGATTCCTTATCCAAGGTTTCCTTATCCAATGCCTCCACCGTAGCTAATGCGCTTCGACCAGCGCGTGCGAGAGAGGCGAGCAGTGGCAGCAGATCTTCTCAGCCTCCTCAAACTGATGATGAAGATGATGATGATGATGATCATGATGATGGTGGCGGTGGTGATGGTTATGATGAGGAGGATGATAATGACCAGTACGATGTAGCTGGCGCGTGTGGGGAAGGCGAGCGGTGGCTCAGGGCTCTGTCGCTGCTCAGCGAGATTGGCGGGGCGAAGCTGGAACCCGACGTCATCAGTTAAAGCGCTCCGGCCAGCGCGTGCGAGAGACGCGGGCAGTGGCACCGGGCTCTGGCGCTGCTCAGCGGGATGTGGGAGGCGAAACTGGAGCCCATCAGCTACGGAGCTGGGACTTCAGCCTGCTCCCCCTGCTCTCCCCTCCTCCCTCTTCCTCCTCCCCCCTCCTGCCCTCCTCCCTCTTCTCTCCCCCTTCCTCTAACACTCTAACACGCTCTGTTCTCTACTCCTCATCTTCCTCTTCCTCTCCTCTCTGATTGCCTCATTTCGTCATCCTCCCTTCCCATTTCCTCCTCGTGTCTGTCTCCTTCCCTCCTCCTTGCCCGTTCCCTCCTTCCTCCTCCCTCTCCCCCCCCCTACTCGCGTGAAGGTCTTTAGGGGCTTTAGGGGCTTTAGGGGCTTTAGGGGTTTTAGGGGCTTTAGGGGCTTTAGGGGCTTTAGGGGCTTTAGGTGTTTTACGGGCTTTAGGGGCTTTAGGGGCTTTAGGGTCTTTAGGGGCTTTAGGGGCTTTAGGGGCTTTAGGGGCTTTAGGGGCGAGGGGCGACGAAACGGAAATGAGGGGTGACGCGGCTAGTATGATGTGGCCAGCGCGTGCGAGAAGGCGAGCGGTGGCAGAGGGCGCTGTCACTGGACAGCGAGACATGCGGGGCACAGCCGGAGCCCGATGCCATCCGCTCGAGCGCCTCGACCAGCGCGAGCGAGAAAGGCGTCCTCTTTCATTGCATCATTGCCCTCCTGCGTCCTGCCTCCTGTCAGGTCCGCCTCCCCACTTCCTGCATTCATCTCGCCTGGATGCTTTCAGATGGTTTCGAGACTGCTTCGAATAGCCTCGGATGGCCTTTGAATGGTTTCGGATTGCCCCGTCACCAGTCGCAGCACTGGGACGAGATGAGTAATGGAGTATTCTTCCTCTTCTTCGTGTCCTAACCCTCTTTTGCCAACCCTCACCCCCCCCCGTGCTAGAGACCAGCTGAGCTTTCAAGGGTGGCGCGTCGTTCCGCGCGAACTCAGGAGGGAACGTGTGTATCAACATATGCTTCTACAAACATCCAGTTCGCTTCGTCCCCTCCCGCCCTCTCGCTGCGCCCTGCTCCCTCTCCCACTCTTTCATTTACATGTTCTTAGGGCTTCAAGCAACCGGTTGCTGACCGCGCACGGCCTCAGGCTGAACCCAGAACCCCCAGAACTTCCACGGGGCTGAACATCCCTTCTCCGACGGGCGATGTCCGCTGCCAGGGTGGGCGCGGCATTGCGGGCTTTTTTGGATTCGCCCGACGCTGCGCTGTGGCCGCGGACAGGGGGTTCTCAAACAAAAAACACAACACAAAGCCATTATCCATTGCACTTTCCGTGCGTGGCCGTGATCCTGCGTAGTGACCATACCCCCTGTTTTCTCAGGACGGCGACGGCGGCTCGCAGTCTGCAGGGCGTCATGCAGGAGGAGGGCGCCCTCGATGCACCAGCCCCCGGTGGTCGCAGGGCGGTCCGGTTCACCCCGGCGGCCCGGCACAAGCTCCAAATGAGGGTGTCGCACCAGAAGCGGGTGCGTGAGAAGCTGTCCGAGCGCTTGGAGGCTGACAGCGCAATCCTGTATTGCTTGCCATTACTGGGGGGACAAGGGGGCGGTCTATGGGGCAGGCCCTTAAGAGTCCGTAGTGGGGGGGCGGCCTTTGATGCGGGGGAGGCGGAGGGGCGGATGGCCGGCCCAGGCTGAGACCGGACCTCGAGCTGGCCGCCGCGTCAAGGACATGTGGATTCTGAGGGCAGGGCTTTCGCCGCCCAACATGCCCTTGCGCGACGTGGCGTCCTTCTGCTCTGACTTCACCGGCGTCGAGCAGCAGGCCATCGGCGCGGGCTCCGTCCGCAAGGCGAAGGACGCCTTCGCCGAGCTGCTCAAGATGATGAACCGCGACCACATCGGGAAGATGGCCCAGTCCACCTCCGAATGCACAGTGTACGTGTCGCACACGCATGACGAGGCTTCTATGAGGCGCCCGGTGCAAACGGCGCGCTCGTATCGTGTGCGCGCATGTTTCCTCCTGGTGGGTGCTAATTAGCTGACATTGCATTGTGGCCCTCTGAGAGTCCTATCCTCCCTCCCTCCTCTGCGGCCGCCCCCTGCCCATCTGCCGCCCCAGAGCATTGCACGCAACTCGCGATGCTGTTGCCCAGCGTAGCCCCAACGCGCGCGCGGGGAGCTCCTTCCGCGCTGTGCCAACAAAAAAACGCACATGAGGGGCCGTGCGCGCGCGCGTGTGTCCGATGGCAGTGGCGCGCATTAGGGGCCGTGCGCGCGGGTGGCGTGTTCTGGCTGCCCCAGGCTGCGGTCCTACAACGCAGCCTGCGCGCCAGACGGCGTGGCCGCCGTTCCGCCCTCTCGGCGTCGGGCTCGCGGGCGTGCATCCAAAATCCAGAATAACTGCGTCACCGTGACGATCGGCGGCGCCGCGCCCCCGCTGTACGTCGAGCTCCAGCCTCTGCAGAAGAAGGATGCTCCCAGCATTGCCTTCGCGCTGTGGCATTGGGTATTGGGAAATCCCTGCCCCCTGGCGTCTCCATCCTGGGGGGGGCCCACATGGGGCCACGAAGCGCGTGAGGGGTCCCTTCTGGGCCTTCAGAACACGCAAGGGCGCATGATTCCCGCACAGGCAAGTGATCGACATCATCTTGAAGGCGGCGCGGGAAAAGTTGGGCGAAGATGCAGATATCCACCTCGCACACTTGATCACGGGGGACGCCGTTGCCACCAATCTCGCAGCCTGCAAGATACTCTGGAGGACGTGGGGATACATCACTCTCCTCGTCTTCGTCCTCGTCGGGGGGCCCTCAGCCTCCATCCCCCTCCTCTCCCTCCCCTTATCCCCTTCCTCCGCCCCCTCCTCTCCCCCCCCTTATCCCCCTCCTCCCCCTCCTCCACCCCCCCGCCCCCATCCAGGCGCAGTCGAGGGTTCGTTTCCCCTTGCTTGCGCTTCCCGCCAGGAGGATGCAAGCCGCCCCCCGGGTCCACTACCGGATGCTGCTCTGGGTGTGCGCGACGCACCAAGTGAATTTATCCATTAAGTTTGCCATGAGCAACAATGATGGGGGCGACGAGATACAAGCCAACGCCGTCCGTTTGTACAAATATTTACACAGCAGCTATTTCGAGGAGTTCTCCTCAAACTTGCTTCGTCTGGTGTGCGACCGCGTGGAAGTGGCGCCAATGGACGTTGCCCGACGAGCTTTGCACATGGAGAAAGTGAGAGCTTTCATGACGCTGTATGGCCCCACGGCCGTGCCAGATAGCCTGGTCCTCCTGCTTAACAAATCTTTTGACAGTATGGTGCATTTCTCGGAGAACCCTGCCGCAGTCGACGTGCCCACTCTCCGCAGAGATGTATTTCTTCAGCTACAAAAATCGATCCTTTTAGTGGACGAACATCCAACCACAAGCCGCTTTTTCACGTTTACCGAATGCGTTCGCTCAATGCTCCTGTGCGCACTGTTCAACATACCGGAACATATCTGGACACTGTCCGTGACGAAGCCGATGAAAGACCAACAAAAACGCCTCCAACGCGTCAAAGCATTTTGGCGCAACAATCAAACGTCCGAGTCCCTGCGGGTGTCCGCGGTTTGCCTTCAACTCACAGACCATGCTATGAGGAAGGCTTCGAAGAATCCCACTGGGGACCCCATTTTGGTGGAGTTGTCTCGCGGCGACATACAGGCTGCTGCGGGCCGTTCTTTCGTCGAGATCTTGCCGTTCGTGCCGTATGGCCCGTTGTTACCTCCGACGGCAGCCGTGACTGCGATGCTTGGTACGTTGGGAAACATCGTAGCCCGCCTTTCCGTGTACGAGCAGTACCCCACGGCTCTCTGGAAGTGTTCCAAACAATTCAACAGGGCGGGCTGGGCTAAAGAATGCGAGGGGTTCTTGGCAATTCCCGAACAATCATTGGACGTTGGATTCTCTCTTCAGCTTCAACGTCGGGCCCTGCGGACTGGCTCTGAGTCCGCGGCCGTAACCTTCCTGATGGGGCCTTCCACGCAGGCCGACATAGACGCCGTATTGACACTGGGCCACGCCACCACTTTGAACGCGGAGAGAAAGCATGTCCAAGACAAAAAGAGCGAAGCACCTCGATTGTCCACGGTGCCCGCAGCCAGCCGCAACGGCATTATTCGTCGGCATCTCAAGCACCGCCGAGAGCAGCAGATCGCGGCGTCGGAGGCCCGGCAGAGCGCGACGGGGGCGCACACGAACCCTCGGGCAGTTACTTTGAGTCGGCGTCCAGATTTCGTCACCGCGTCCGCCAAAGTGGCGAGGCCGCGTTTGGTCTATGACGAGCCAGGGATCCAGGCGTACATCGATGCCAACCGCGAGGACTTGGACCGAGTTGTGGCTGCGAAGCAGGCGGCGGCGAAGGCGGCGGCCAGGGCTGCGGCGTCGCATTCCACGGGTGGCACCCCTGGAACTAATGCACAATGGATGAAGTGGATTGAGGAGAACCGCCCAACCTTTTTGGATTTCTTCGATAACGCGTCTGCGAGGCGCCGTGCCCTCGCTGCCAGGCTCGTTCCCGACGGCGAATTCCCCGCAGCTCCGAGACTGCAGCCTGAGCGCGCCTCGCCCGACATTCCTTGGCAGGACCGCTTGTGGTGTCAGGCGCCCGGGTGGTTTTGCGTCCGAGCTGGAGAGGCGCGCCACATCTTCTTTCACATTGCCATCGGGCGGGATTCGTGGGTTTTGCCGATCTACGGCCATCGTGCCAAGAGGACCCTGCGGTTATCTGGTGCATTCCACAAGCAGTTCGTGCGGTTGCGTGATTTTTGCTTGAGGGACAGTGTCCCCGTGGATCCCGACACCATGGTTTACCACATCGATGTCCAATGCTCCAACTTCATTGTCGAATCTGTCAAAGTGTCCGTGACGAATTGGAAGCGCTTGGAAGTCGGGGGCCCTCCTGGTACAGCTGCTGCCAGCGGCTTTGATGAGGGCGACGTGGACGAGGGCGAAGAGGCCGAGGGCGACGGGGACGATGTCGCGGGCGGTTCTGACACTGATGAGTCCAGCGTTCTGTCCCTCGCGAGCGCCGCTGACACAGTGGAAGAGGATGGGGTGGCCGGCGCGGACGCTGTGGGGGCGCCCGAGGTTGCGGCGGCCGACGCCGAGGAGGCGGCACAGGACGAAGGGGGCGCTGCTCCGCGAGCCAAGACGGGGACTTGGAACGTGTGGCCACCGGAACGAAATACGTACTTCTACCTGACAGACAACCCTGCTTGGCCCGACGTGAAAGTGACCGCGCAGACCCGATGGACCAAAGGCGGGGGCCTAGCACCTGGCAGGTGGTCGCGGACAGGATGCTTTTTCATTTATGCCCGGGAAGATGGGGAGGAGGAGGAGGAGGAGGAGTAGGAAGAGGAGGAGGGGGAGAAGGGGGAGGAGCAGGGGGAGGAGGAGGACAAGGAGGTGGAGGAGGATTTCAATGCAACGCAGTGCATCTCCAAGTGACGCCGAGCACCTTCGGCGAGGAGAAGCCCCGGGTCCCGATCTCGTACGCCGTCTGCCGTGCCTGGGCCATCTGGCGTGCGAGGCAAGGGACGTTCCTGGATCACTGCAGCGGGCGCCGGCGTTTTTTCGAGAACGAAGCGGAAGCTTCGGGCAACGGGGGTGGCGCTGGCTCGGGGGCGGGAGCGTGGACCCCAGATGGCCTCTTCATCGCTGTCCAGGTGTTGGGTTCACCACCGTGCCCAGGAACGTGCTGTTTCGTTGGCGGGGGCCCCGATGAATCGGCCATGGAAGGTCTTCGTCCCCACCATCAGCCAATGCCCCTCCTGTTGGCTCCCCTGAGGACGGTCTCCGGCTGGACCTGGCAGCATTGGGGCACGGGGGGCGCACGGGCTGTGTCGACGCCGACACATTGATCTCGGGGTGGCTGCCAGATGTGCTCCCGTAGGCGGTCGCAGTGGGCGCGCGTCGCCTCCGTTGTCGGCCGCTCCCCTCTCAAGCCGTGGCCGCCCAAGCCGTGGCGGCGTGTGCCTGCAGAGCGCCGCGCGTCGAGCCGGGCCCCGCGCGCTCCAGGCAGCGCCTCTCGGGGGAGGGGGGCAGGGGACGGACGAGGACGCAGGAGGCGCACTGGGAGTTCACCAGGGCTCACCGAAAGCACAAAAAAGCACAAAAAAACACAAAAAAAAGCACAAAAACAGCACAAAAACAGCACAAAAAAACACAAAAAATGGGGATACGAGGAACACCGAAGGACGATTGCATAAGTTGTTATTCTGAGGTTTTTGTGTTTTTTTGTGTTTTTTTTTTTGTGTTTTTTGTGCTTTTTTGTGCTTTTTGTGCTTTCGATCCTCCCCCTCCTCCTGCTCCTCCTCCTCCTCTTTCCCCTCCGCCTCCTGCTCTCCCTCCCTCGCCGGAGGCAGCCATGCCGCCGAAGGAGCCAGATGCCGTGCGCGTGCAGCAGCTTCTAGACGCCGGGGAGTTTACTGCGCCAGAGAGAGAGAAGGCCGAGACGAAATTGGGCAGGCGGGCGGATAATTTCGGCGGCACGCCCAGGGAGCAGGTCTTTCCCCCCTACCTCCTGTCCCCCATCCCTCTTTTTCGGAAGCCGCCATCTCCACCTCGGGCGCGAGCGCGCCCGAGGTCTTGAAGATCATGATGGCGTGCACGCGGCTGGGTCACAAGCGCTTGGGCGATTCTCAGCTCTCGAACCTGATCCCCAAGGTGAAGTTCTCGATAGTTGCGACGGTGAAGAAGACGTATTGGGTGTGCCCGACAGAGCTTCTCCCCAAGGAGGGAACGGGAAGGAGGGAGGAGAGAAACGAGGAGGAGGAGGAGGAGGGGAAGTAGGAGGAGGAGGAGGAAGACAAGGGCCCGGGGGGGGGCCTTCAGCAGGATTTGCCGCCGGGCGTCGTGCGCCCACCCAGCATGTTCGTGCTCCCTGCGGGCTTCGACATCCAGAACTTCAGCATCGTGGACAAGAAAGTCGACAGGCCACTACAGAATTCGACACCAACCCCCGGTAGGTATGCGAATTCAGTGGTGGCCTGGCGATTGTCTTGTCCACCCAGGGGGGCTATGCCAATCGACACGGGCGAACTCGAATTGGCGATGAAGGAGACTATGGATTTCAGCTCGGCGGGCCCGAGCGCCAGCGGAGCGCTCGCGCTCGGCGATCGGGCGCCGCAGCAGGAGGTCGGCGGCGCGCCGAGCGCGCAGCAGCCACCGCCCACCGTCGAGCCGAAGGGCACCGACGAGCCCGCGGAGAAGCCGGCAACCAGAGAGCTGCAGAAGGTCGGCGGCGCGCGGCTAGGGGTGGCGCGAGTGGGGTGGCCTCTTGGACCCCCATTGCCTCCTGAGATGGCCGCCCCCCTCGCTACGCACCCTTGTGCGCGCCGCCGATGAGGAGGACTCCAGCGAACGGCCCCCGCCGAACCTCGAGAAGACCTTGAATGGCATGGCTCACACGCTGAAGGAGGCCGCGAAGGCAGGGCGCTTCTACGACCCGGACATTCGGGGGGGGCGCCTCTGCACTTATCGGGCACGTGGCTTCCGCTCGCGCGAATCCGTATCAGCATCCATGCCAACCTCCTACTTCCTCCCCCTGTCCCTCCCCGCCCCAAATCGTGGAGGACCCGATGTGCAAAGACACCGTGCATCACGTGTTGCAGCGGTTCGTGAACTTTGCGCTCTCCTCGGGGTGGAACCAGGGGGAGGAGCCAAAGGTGGCCATCAATTTCATGCGGTACCTCGTGAAGCGCCTGCGGAACACGGAGAGCCTCGATTATCTTTCTCACATGGTGAAGCCCATGGAGCAGCTGATGGGGAAGCTCCCCGCGCTGGTGCCCGAGACGGGCAAGGTGGTCATCCATTTGAGCAAGCTCAGTTTCCTGACCGAGACGCCCCTGAATTACGGCACGCTGGACTTGGACGAGCAGAACGAGTTCGATTCGGCACCCTTGTGCAAGCAGTGGATGAGGAGGCGTTTTGATAAGAAGTTGGAGAAGGTTCGAAGGAGGAACATCGGCATGAACATAAACTGTCGGAGCTCCGCGCGGATGTCTTGGATCAGCGCTGGGCCCCCTGGGCGGCGCCTCCAGCGCCGCCCCAGGCTGATCCATGAAATCTGCGCGGAAATCCGGAAGGTCATGTTCGTGCCGAGTTTGCTCCTTCGATAGGTCCGCGGGGACGCGGGGAAGGACCCGAAGGAGAGGCGGGGTGAGTTGGCGGGCATGCAGAGCCAGTTCGACAAGATCGACGGCGAGGGCAAGATGACTGAGGAGGTGAAGGCCCAGTACAACTTCGGCATGAGCGTCTTGTCGCCGTCCATGTCGCTCGGTGGCCAGGTGGAGTACTTGCAGGGCTTGGGGGAGACGGGGTGGTCCATGCTGGAGACGTGGTGGCCGAAGAGCCCGGCGACGAAGTTCGCGAAGCTCGTGCCCGGGGCCGAAACCTCAGTGGAGGACGTCGTGGCCGCCGCGTCGTCGGTGCCGCCGAGCGACCTCGCCCAGGCTGCCTCCCACTTGAACCCCGTGGTCGTGAGGCTGTGCGAGATGTGGCACCCCCTGACGGAGGCCGTGGCGGACAAGCCCGCGCGGGACCGGCTCTTCCGCGAGACCGTCTCGTGCCACCGAGGGGAGGGTAGTAGTAAGAGTAGTGGTGGTAGTAGTCGTAGTCGTAGTCGTAGTCGTAGTAGTGGTAGTAGTAGTAGTAGTAGTAGTAGCTGCAGTAGTAGTAGTAGTAGTAGTAGTAGTAGTAGTAGTAGTAGTAGTAGTAGTAGTAGTAGTAGTAGTAGTGGTAGTTGAAGGGGTCGTAGTGTCAGGAATAATTGTAGTAGTGTTAGGCGTATCAGGAGGAATAGTATTAGGAAGAGGCGTTGGTTTTCGTCCGGAATTCAACGGTCTTGGCGGAGGACAAAAAGGTGGTAGCGTTGAATTCCGGACGAAAAAAAAACAAAAAGTATTAGGAAGAGGCGTATTAGTTGTAGTAGGTACAAGCTCAAGGGGGCCGATTCGTGCGAGAACACGGGCGCCGAGGTGCCGCAGGACGGGGTCATCGAGAAAGCGGGCGGTGTCCTCTGGCCTCTCTGGAGGAGCAGGGACGTCGCGGCCGCGCCCCCTCTCACGAAGAAGTGCTTGGAGTTAGAGCGCGCGCGCCTGGAGACCAAGAAAAAGGAGAGGGAGGAGAAAGAGGAGAAGGACAAAGCGGGAAAGGCCCAGGCCGACAAGGGGAAGGCCGACAGCCCGGCTGGCGAGGGCAAGAAGAGGGCCGCCGAGGAGGGCCAGGCAGGGCCCGACCCGAAGAAGGCGAAGACCGAGGGCCAGACTGACCCGCTCGACTGGCTCAAGCCGGGCGTCGAGGTGATCTGCAGTTGCAAGCTCACGAAGGACAAGTCGAAGTACGAGGGCAAAAAGGGGCAGGTCGTCTCGCTGGTGAAGGCGAACGCGGCCTGCAGCGTGAAGCTCCTGGAGGGTTCGGAGGAGCTCGTTGGGGCGAAGTGGGCAGTAATTACAGTCTAAACTCATAGTAAGGACGAACGACTTTCCAAGGGTGCCCTTGCGTCCTTAAATTTTGCCTTGCGTCCTTAGGTTTTGTATCGTAGGAATCCGTCCAGAATACTTCAACTTCGGCCTCCAAGGGTCTTGCGTCCTTACCGCGCGCCCTGACTATGAGTTTTGACTGTAGCGGAGAGGGGGGCGCCAGAGGGGGGAAGCTTGCTTTCCCCCCCCTGGCGCCCCCCCACCCGCCAGTTGGGTTTATGAAGCTATTCGGCCCCCAGGCTAACAAGAGGCACGTTTTCGTGCTCAGTCAGCTGTCGCCAGTACCAGGTGCCGCCTCCAGCGGGAACGCCGCCGCGGACAGCGGCGGTGCCGCGCCGCCTGAGAAGGACGATCTCTTCTCCGATCCAGAGCTGGAGAAGGAGAGGTGAGCGGCGCGGCTTCTCCCCTCCCAGTCCTCCCTCCCAGAGCCCCCCCCCAGAACCCCCTCCCAGTCCTCCCTCCCAGTCCTCCCTGCCAGTCCCCCCTCCCAGTCCGAACCCTCCCCCGGGCAGGATCCGTCCGCCGCAGGCCCGAGGTCGGGCGGGAGCGGCGGCTGTGTTCGGGCGGGAGGGGCGGCCTGCCCAATTTCAAGAGAAGCTACTCTAAGACTGGCCCCGTCACGGCTTAGGGGCCAGCAGTCGCGAGACTTTCGATGGCGAGCGGCGGCGACACCAGCGTCAGCTAGGACAGGTGACAAAACAAATATCAAGACGCCTGCGGCGAAACCCGCCCCGGGCCCCCTGCCTTTTGGACACGCCGATGAGGAGCCACGGTGTGAGGGTCGTGGTTGGGCCTGCTTGCCTATGGAAGACTCCTGTGGCGAATCCCACAATGCCCCCCCCTGCCTTTTGGAAACGCCGATGTGGAGCCGCGGTGTGAAGGTCGTGCCGAAAAGGGTTTATGAAAGAACAATGTGCCCCATGTGTTTTGGAAACGCCGATGTGGAGCCACGGTGTGAAGTACGTGCCGAAATGGACTATCAAATGTCATGGTCGTGGAAACGCCGATGTGAAGCCGCGGCGTGCAGGACAGAAGCAAAAATAGGCGACCGTTTAGATTGCCACGCGGACTTCTTGTATAGCAACACAGCTCACTGCAAAGGAGCAATCCCACCAAGTGGGATAACTGAGGCTTGCGAATCGGGTGCGATTTATTTGCCCTGAAGGCATCAGGAGGCCTTCGGATTGTAGGTTGCTGCACTGTTTGATTTGTGGACCCCCAACTGTTTGTCCGACAGACGCCCCTTGCATTGGCATCCCAGAGCAATTTATGTTCTCGGTTGGTGGTGGTGGTAAGACTCTGACCTTTGGCCGCTGAGCTTGCGCTGTCAGCAGACCTATGGCAACAAAGTGTGGCCCGCTTCTCTGGGCCTGGTTCCGCTGCACTGTTTGATTTGTTGTGGACCCCCACCGGTTTGTCCGACAGACGTCCCTTGCACTGGCATCCCAGAGCAATTTATGTTCTCGGCTGGTGGTGGTAAGATTGTGACATTTGGCCAATGAGCTTGCACTTGCAGCAGACCTATGGCAACAAAGTGTGGCCCTTTTCTCTGGTTCAAGCCAGTCTGGCTCAAGCCTGGCTCAAGTCTGGCTCAAGCCAAGTGTGGTTCAAGCCATCGTGATTCAAGCCATCGAGAGTGCCAGCATGGGGCCCAACGTTATCAGCTACGGAAGGGGCCATCGTGATTCAAGCCATCGAGGAGGCTGGGGTCGCGACGTGGGAGTGGGGTGAGCTGTGGCAGCGCGCCGTGGCGAGCTGTGGCCTCGGGCTGTGGCGCTGGGGGCCCAACGTTATCAGCTACGGAGGGGGCCATCGTGATTCAAGCCGTCGAAGGGGCTGGGGTCACGACGTGGGACTGGGGTGAGCAGTGGCAGCGTTCCGTGGCGAGCTGCGGCCTCGGGCTGCGGCGCTGCTCAGCAGGATGTGGGAGGCGAAGCTGGAGCCCGACGTCATCACTACAGCTCTGGGAGATCCGAACTCCTCCCTCCCCCCCTTTCTCCCTCTTGTTCCTCCTCGCCTCCTCCCCTCCTCCCCTTCCTCCCTCCCTTCCTTATGACGTTCTCGAAAGTGGGCTCGAAAGGCAATTCTTTTTTTTTGGGGGGGCCTTCGAGCCCACTTCTGTGGCCGGCCCCCGAGAAGGGGGCGCCGGGGGTTCGGCGGAGGCGTGTTGTTTGAACCTGGTCTCGTGGCCTTCCAGGGCTTTGCTTCCCAAGGTCCCTTGGAAACTGGCCCGGCCTGCCAAGGGTAACTGCGGAACTCGTTCTTGTAGGACATAGAGGACATAGAGGCGGAGGCGGAGGCCGAGGAGGAGGAGGAGGAGGAGGAGGAGTCGATGTTAACAAATCGTACCCGCCCCCCCCGTTGGATACCCCTCACTGCTCAGCAAGATGGGCGGGGCGACGCTGGAGCCCGATGTCATCCGCTGGAGCGCCTCGACCAGCGCGTGCGAGAAACGCGAGCTGCGGCTCTGCGCTCTGGCGCTGCTCAGCGGGATGTGGGGGGGCGAAGCTGGAGCCCGATGTCCTCAGCTACAGTCCCGAGACCTCGTCCGCCTCATTCCCCTCCTCCCTGTTCCTGCTCCCTCTTCCTCCTCCCTCCTCCCTCTCCCCCCCTCTCCCTCACTTCCCTATCGCCCTCCGTTCTCTGTTGTTCATATTCCTCCTCCATCCTCCTCTGATTTCCTCCTTTCGTTGGCAGGGACAGCGAAAGAGCACCCGAGACAATTATTGCCCAGGGGCCAGGCCGGAAATGTTACTTAAGACCGGGTTTTTCGAGACCTGCGGTCTGGCGAATGCGAAGAAAAAAAACAATTGGAGTTCCACTGGCTTCCAGACCCTGGATTCCTTATCCAAGGTTTCCTTATCCAATGCCTCCACCGTAGCTAATGCGCTTCGACCAGCGCGTGCGAGAGAGGCGAGCAGTGGCAGCAGGTTGTGGCACTGGTCAGCGGGACGCGGGAGGCGAAGCTGGAGCCCGATGTCATCAGCTACAACAATGGGATATTCTCAGCCTCCTCAAACTGATGATGAAGATGATGATGATGATGATCATGATGATGGCGGCGGTGGTGATGGTGATGATGAGGAGGATGATAATGACCAGTACGATGTAGCTGGCGCGTGTGGGGAAGGCGAGCGGTGGCACAGGGCTCTGTCACTGCTCAGAGAAATTGGCGGGGCGAAGCTGGAGCCCGACGTCATCAGTTAAAGCGCTCCGGCCAGCGCGTGCGAGAGACGCGGGCCGTGGCGCCGGGCTCTGGCGCTGCTCAGCGGGATGTGGGAGGCGAAACTGGAGCCCATCAGCTACGGCGCTGGGACTTCAGCCTGCTCCCCCTGCTCCTCCCTCCTCCCTCTCCCCCCCCACTCGCGTGAAGGTCTTCAGGGGCTTTAGGGGCTTTAGGGGCTTTAGGGGCTTTAGGGGCTTTAGGGGCTTTAGGGGCTTTAGGGGCTTTAGGGTCTTTAGGGGCCTTAGGGGCTTTAGGGGCCTTAGGGGTTTTAGGGGCTTTAGGGGCTTTAGGGGCTTTAGGGGTTTTAGGGGCTTTAGGGGCTTTAGGGGCTTTATGGGGCTTTAAGGGCTTTAGGGGCTTTAGGGGCTTCAGGGGCTTTAGGGGCTTTAGGGTCTTTAGGGGCCTTAGGGTTTTTAGGGGCTTTAGGGGCTTTAGGGGCTTTCGGGGCTTTAGGGGCTTTCGGGGCTTTAGTGGCTTTAGGAGCTTTAGGGGCTTTAGGGGCTTTAGGGGCGAGGAGCGACGAAACGGAAATGAGGGGTCACGGGGTAGCAGGAGGAGGATGGGGGGAGGGGAGGAGGAGGAGGAGGAGCAGGTGGAGACAGGAGG